TCGACTACATATCGTAACAGAGAGGCCTGTATCTACGTGTGTCGCTGATTATGAGGCTTCGCCTATTCACGGCGACCTAATCCAATGGCTAACGAAGGCCTTTCATGCTAGTAGATTTACACGTTGTCCATCATCTCAAATGCTTATCCTAACAGCTGTGTATGTGTCTATGTGCGACGCCGCTAATGAAGTCTCACCTATGCACGGTAACCTAATCCAACGACAAACGTCTGTCCCTCATACTCATAACTGTACGCGATGTTGCTTATTTTTGCTACTCATACAAAGCGCCAGGTCAGTATCTATGCGGGCAGGTAAAAACAAGGCCTCGATTATGCGTGAGGGCCTAAGTTGACGACTCGCCACACAACTTCACTCGATGTAGCCTTACTTGGCTACTTGTAGTACCCGCTAGACCCGTGTCCATGTGTGGCGTTATTAACAGGGATCGATTATGTGCGGTAACCTAATGCGTCATTCTCATAACGTTCACTCTTATCTCTGCTTCTTAAGGTAAGCACCAGGCCGGCATTTCTGCAAACCGATGAATACGAGGCCTCAACTATGCACACAAACCTGTTCTAACGGCAAGCGATATACTCATAACCGTGGGTGATATCGCCTATCTCGGCTACTTATCGCTAGGCCTGTGTCTACGTGCAGCACCGAATATGAGGCCTCAACTATGCCTATCAGCCTAACACAACGGCCAGCGACAGCCCGTCATACCCGTACCCGCGCTGGATATCGCCTACCGTGGCTACTTATAGTAAGTGCTGAACCTGGTACTGGCTAATGCCCAAACTTACATGATAGGCCAATCCAACCACCATCAGCGATCCTTCATACACGCTGTATACCAATACCGTGCCCAAAAATACATGACAAGCTTTAAAAAATCATGTTTTTATTTATTGGCAGCTCCGTAAAAAGGCAATGTGTAGTCAGTCTAGTTCTCAGTTTCAGGAAGCCGATTTTACTCGACGGGGTTCCAGAAGGGAAAAATGCTTAATCAATTAAGGCTCGTGCGCCTTTTTCACGATGGCGTTTGAAAACTGATTGGCAAGGTTGCCGTGCCTAACCCAGCAAGAGAACAATAAATCCCACAGTCCGAAATTCCAGGTCAGTGTCCACGCCGGAGCTGGAGTCTTACCGTCATAAAGGTGAGCTCACGACTTGCTCACTGGAGACAATGAGGGAGCAATGTGTACATCAATTATTCAATAGCGAGAATCGGCAACCATATGCATTATTGGGCGAATTGAAGTGTAAGCTAAAGGGGGATGTATACTTATCCCTCGTAAAATCACGTGGTATAGACTTGAGCCCTAGTATCCTAGGAGCAAGTGTCTTCGAACGTGCATCCATGGATGTGGCCATACGAAGAACCTAGTGAGTAGGCGGATACTTCGTGTCAAATCTGCTAATTTAGAGCAATAAAACCCAACTTCACTCTACTCCTGCTTCCTGGTACCAATACCACGTAGCTTAATAGAATCATCTCGTGGCCATTTCATACTCACCTGCAGCAGCAGTCTCGTCATCTGGGGTCTTTCTTCCGGGGAACTGCTCATAATTTTTGGCATGCGGTTTTGTCAGCAAGCTTTTATATCCCTGGTTCACAGAATTGCACATTCCATCCCAATCACCTCATACATGGCGTCCGTTAGGAGGCTGTCGAGAAACCAAAGTACGCCGGCACAATGACGGCACGGCACTGCTACACCCAGTCTGATAGCACGTCCGCAACTAATCCCTTCCTACGATTGACTGTACCCTCTCGCCACTCAGTCCGCTGCCTGCAACTACGAACAAACTCATGCTATATTCTGAAAGTAAACCTGTGGTCGTATCTAACGGTATGCAACTCAATATTCGGGAATAGATATTGTTATTACCTTGCACGTTGTGGGTGCAGAGTGCACACCAAAGGACGAGGTGATTTTCGTCACTGCATCCGGAAGCAACTGCACGTTTTTCTCCACTCTGAAGATGAGAACGATAGCCTAATACCCCATTTCGGCAAGGCTTTCGTCAGATATTTGAAAACCGAGGTCCAGAAGACATTATTTGGCTAGGAGTTGTGACCAGCTTTGGCCGCCTGTTATTTTGGGCCGCAGTCTAACGTTATGGTACTTTCAAGCAGACTTTCTGAGACTTTTTTATTTTGGGTCTTCAGTGTAGACACAACTGTCGTATTGTCTCGTCGAATGACAGCAATAGACCACCGTGCTCGCTTAATGGATACTATAGTGTCCTTGCTCCATGCTGGTCTTAATTTGTCGCGATTCCTTGGCAAATCTTAAGTAAATGACAACCCTAAACGACTCATTCAAGATGTTTATGTACGGGGCTGTCCACGGATCCAAGTATGGCGTCGCAGTGATGGTACCGCGACTACTATACCCAGCCTAATGGCTTACCTGTGACTCCAAGCACCTCAACAAGCCAGGAACCACAGGCTCCTGCTGAGTAATTAAATACCGGTTTGCAGCATACACTTGCCAGTCAGACGTGCACAGGTCATGCGAATGCTGCAGGTTAAAACTGACGATCACAAAGCGACTCTCATGTTGGACGAGGCGCGTGAACCACCGGCAGTCGAAATCAGAGTACCTGAGTGTAAGTTAATTGAATGTTTGTGCGTACAATGATCAACGTACCGACGACACATTTATTAACGTTTCAGTGTGAACGCGCATGCACGCATTTGTACATCGTGAACGAATAAGAGAGGGATGCTGGGAGTACTTCACCCATATCCTGTTCATATTTTGCCACCGATAAACTGTGCCAGTGGGCATGACATGCCCGTTCCCCGCTGGAATTCTCACAGCTTGGATTCGAATTCGAGAAGGTACTGCAACATGTGCGTTTATCAGACGATATATTCAGTGAACCTACAAGACATTATACCACAAAAACCTTCTCTCATGGATCCGTGAATCCGTGAATCTAACGGAGGAGTTACTTGGCTTCGGTATGATAGTCACTAGCTGTACCGGTACGGCGCCGTTGATACCGTACTGGTCGCGTTTGGCATGTCGTGGGCATTCGGACCGCAAGCGAAACAAGCGAGGAATGACTATTTGTAGCTCCGCACAATTCTATATACCATCCTAACATAGGGTCCCTATGGCCTTGAGAAACCAGTAACCCGGTCCAGACCACAAGATAATAACTGACCAATAAGTGCATCTCGTGAATCGCAATGCATCAGCCCTATGTTGTTCTGCGCTGACAGCGGTAATGGGGCAAAACCGGCGACGAGCTGCGAAGCTTTTGCACATATTTGTCAAGACTTTAATCCCCATCTTGCTTACTATTATTCAAAAGATATCTGCTGCTGTGATCACAAACTAAAACTTCCCCGCCTTTGCTGAAGAGGTGCCGGTTAAATTGTTTCTCCATCCGCATGCGGTGATGCCGCATGGTGGAAGACCTTCGTTCGGTGTTTAAGGCTTGCATCGGAGCATAGTCTTAGCTGGTCCCAACCTGCCACGTAAAATTGGATTCTGCGTCGCTTGGTGAGAATGCAAGAACGACCAAAAGACTTCAGAAAATCAAGTGTTCGGTACTCCTAGAGTCATCTACTATGCACAATGGTATTATGAGTTGAACTTTCATCCCTTACTTTTTGCGCCTTTGGGATAGATCATCTTACTGCCTTATGGGTTGAGGGCAAGGAATGGAGTTTCCGAAGTAAGCCCCTATTTCCAGGCTAACAATAGAAAATCTCCACTTCCCCACATATGACACGGACTATGAAGGGAAGGAAGATGCGTTATGTACAGCTTGATGCTTCGAATGTGCAGACTATCCCGGATAAGGTTAGAGGAGACAGGCTTGAGAAGCGAACCTTTGCTGTTGCAAAAGAACGCAAACGCCACAGGATAGACCTCGGTCTGCGAGCTGATTAAGAGAAGATATGAGAAGCATCCTCAGGCTATACTGTCTACTGGAGTGGAAAGATGCAAGAAAACCGACCTGAGAGTTGTCTCGCATTCGTAGTTTTAAATTACATGGAACAGTGTACTGGATGGCCGAGCTGCATCTTTGGATGCCGAGGGCGAGGTTTGACATTTGTCAGTGCACTGATTGCAGTGCGCAGTTTGATAAGTGGGGAGGGGTTGGTTAAAAGCCAGTGAATGAAACACTGTAAGGACGAGTGAGACGTCATCGTTGTCCATGCGGAAGAAAGGGGTTTGTTCGTGCTACTTCCTCGTGAGGGAACTGTGGTAGTTATACTACCCTGTTATAACTACCCTGTATGGCAAGTACGCGGTTGTCATACCTGATGATGATTATGATGATCTTGAGCATTTGGGAGGATGTGGAGTTTTGTTCGGCAACATCAGCGTCTGACTAGAGTCAACTGTAAGGCGGCGGTTGTTGCGGGTTTTTGAGGGACCCCCTCCCTGACCCAAAGGCTCAATAGTCTGACTTTCTCTACTGCGGAAGCTGGTCTAGCCGGAGGGAGCAAAGAGTGAAACGACTGTCGGACTCAACGTGACTACACACACAGGAAGACTTATGACCAGCACCATACCCCTTGATTTTAAAAGGACTGTTGTTCACTGTCAGTCGTTGGGCTGCCGGAGTGTACGGTTCTTACAGTTGACCTTCGCTAATCCGTCCTTTCTCGAATGAAGACAGTATCACTGCCTCCATAAATATGGACATCCTGGTCGCGTTAATGAAACGCCTTACTGCCTTCACACTCCTGTCGCAGAGAAAAGTACAACCTTATCTACAGACCTTGTATTACAGTAACTCGTAACATGGGAACTCGCTACTCTTCATCTGTTTTCTCCCAACCGACCATCCTGGCATGGTTGCACCTTGCGGGATCGTTGCATCCACGTTTATCCATCATTTTTCCACGTTCAGAATATTTTTAGTCCAGTCGAGTTTTCCGCAAGAAATGCATATAGTAAAGCAATCACAGTACAGACACCTTACCTATTGTTTTTAGCCCCCTTTCTCAGGTGCACTTTCAGATGCTGAGTAGGCAAGTACCATATGCTTTTGCACCCTCAGTTCACGTGGATCGACACTCGTTTGAGAGCGTTTACCTATCATCCTGGCTCAATGCACAGTTTCATACTGATCGCTGTAATTATGACCATGGATGGCCACCAATAACCAGTGCGCATCCGAACGCACCGGTTAATAACGGTGTAAATTCGTCCACAAATCAAATTTTGCTGGATGCCGAACCTTCAGATGCTAATCTTGATCCAACATTGATGATGTGCTCTTTGCAGCATAGTGAGTCCTACACAATTGCCCGTAATGTACGTTGTTTTCGTCAGGGTTAGAGAGTATTCGCAAACTGAAGGATCAAGTCGAGAATAAAAAACAGCAGCTCACGGTATGTTCCCGGTTCCCCATACTCACTCACTTTATAGAAAATACGCACCTCACTCCACCAAAAGATAAACTCAAAATATGTGTGCTGTCCTCCTGAATGCACAGTAGAGCAAGTAAGTTGCCTGCTTGTCATGTATATTTTGGTACTCCTGAACAGTAGTGATAAACCACAGGCAAACACCTTTTTGCACGATCACGCCGTCATCGGGAAGAAAAAACAGAATTGTTGTGTAAAGCATGCGATTTATTGGTTGAAAACTATAGATTTATTGAGTTTTTACTTGAATCAGTAACTTTTCGGTATACCTCTCTCCTCATCACAACAAAGTCCGCTCTGGGTTTTTCTTGGGGACAATTTTGGCCTCAAATAAGGGTCAGGGCGCCTTATTCGCGTCCTGGGTTTTCTGACCGTGTGTTACCAGACTGGTACATGCCTGCTCACATGATGCACAAGTTTAATTCCAAAGTGATTGAACAGAGATGTTTTACAGCTGCATGAACCCTAACTAAGGCGCTTAAAAACAGTCCCATCCAAACGGAGGTTACTGCTCCGGGGAGTGCATAGTAGTTTCTCCGCCTTTTTCTACCAAAACTACTTTCCGATTTGGCAGTGTAGTGGAATTTTGAAGACTTATAATGGGTATATCAAAAAATGGAACAACATGGAAGACACTGTAAACCTCTAAGGTCGCTCACGTGACGTACTTTTCACATTCACGAAGGAATTTCTGCTTTTTATGAACTAGTTCTCAAACTTCTTAGTTGATCGCTCCTTTGTCACACAATGTACTACATCTTAGGCCGCTCATTTTATTCGTGGTGCTTGAAGAGTATAACTAGGATTGTTAATAACATCCTGTTTATTGATGCAAAATGATACACGCTAGTTATCTCGAGAGAATGGAAAGCACTGCTTTGGAGACTAAGTGTCATTCCCTGAAGAGCATAATTTGGTGTGCGATCCCTCTTAAAATGTCTACCCTCTCGAGAATTCCATTCGTTCACTATAGGGTAGTATCCAACGTATATTTTGCATTGGCTGATACCTGTTATCTAGAAAGAGTGTAAGTTTATACAGATGGTGATCTAGATATCAAACCTGGTCGGTTTGAAAAGTCTGTGAGGTCAGTAACTTATCGCGTCACAGTAACAATTTTGAAAGGACTTTTGTTTCGCGTCATCATTAACTTCCGCAGGTGAAATCCTACATGGCTGGAGTGATTCTTTAGTTCTCGTAAAAATTCCAATATTTCTCTCAGGAATAAGGTGAGCGAGTACATTCACATCTCTTCCGTATTAGTCATATCTGTCGGGTCCAGGGCATCTCAGCGATTGATTCGTGAACTTACTGATTAGAATATCCGTAGTCCCCCATCCCCAGCTTCTCGACTGCACCTGTCCAGCACTGGGTCACCCGGCAGTTCTTCAGCCCTCGTATTTCCCTTTGGTGTAGTGACATCCATAAACCAAAAGGATATTACGGATGAGCAATCATTTCTATTATTATAATTAATAATACTTATTATTATTCACAATTATTATTTATTATTAATACTATTATACTTCATCCCTATAAAGGCCGCCATACGGCGGTAGATAGAGGTGATCCCACCATTAGTAGTCGAATCATTTGAATGTGATGCCACTTCAAATTGAGGATCGCGAAGCAGACGCCTTTAGGGTTACTTTTTTGGAAGTGTCCGCAACTACTTGAACGTCAACGTGAATCGGTTCAGACCCAATTCAGTGCCTTATTCGTCAATTTCAGGATTTGTTTCATGGTTCGAGGTTTTTCAACACATTAAGAAACGTTGCCATAACAACGAATCCTTATAGTATGCAAAATAGGCTCTCGTGAGTACACTGTGCGACCGATAAAAACGGATAGGAAAATTCGGTGGACCCGAACCTGTGAGTGGAATACATCGAACTTTTGATGCCTGAATAGCCTGGAAGATGAGACGAAACGGGATTCTTCTTTCCGTGCTATCGCGGTTGCTCCCTTTTCACAGGGAACCTCACAAGACCGTCTGCGGTGATGTCTTCTGAGGATTGGTCTCTCCTAGGGGAAACTCAACTGTTCAAAGGTTTAATCAGAACTTGTCTTTTGAAGGCTGATCCGTTTAGTGGAAGTTGACTAGACTATCGGCATGGAGTGCAAAATCCACGTTTTTAACCAGGTTGATCCATTTATAACATCTAGTGGTCTTTTGGATCTCCAGGCTAGTGGTTAAGACAAATTCGTTAACCTCTCTCGGAAAGGTGAGCTTCACCGCCAACATTACACCATATTCCGCTGCGACCTGTCTTTGAACCCAAAACTTCGTTTGCTCTGCTGCCTAAATTAGGCGTTCCAACGGTATCTGGGCTCATCCACAATCATAAAGTATGCTAACGGAAGGACTACCACGCCGCATTTGTCGATTCGTATCAGTTTCTGTGTACAGCAGAGTGAATAAGAGGAGGCACGTGCAGCTTCAGTATCTTATTAATAGATGTATGTTGCATTTTTAAAACCCGAATATTCAGTTACCTAATTTCAGGGACATCCGTCAACTGCTTACTACGAACTTCGAGTGACTTTAGCTGCTGTACTTCGTTTTGCTGGGGTTGACATTTCCATCACTTTCGCGCGCCGAGACCATACTTCATATGGAACTTGCAAACCGCCTACGTTGTACCGCTTGACGATGCGCCTCCATAGGAGATCGTACTAATAGGAATGTTAACTCCATTTCACTCATCGTCTTCTTCTTTGTCGACCAACTGTAGCTCCGACTCTATCGGAAACCAACCACTATGTGTACCACAAAGTTTTGGCCTAGTCATAGCAGGGCATTTAATGCACAAGTCGGGCGCCTCCGCCCATTAGAGGTTGCGTCTGGTCCCAACGCAAAGAGTTCTACCCACTTTACGGTTGCTGGCTCCTGTAGAGGAATGGGCTGGAGTCGCCGATTGTAGAACTCAATACCCGAGAAAGGCGGTCAGAGGCTAGGTCCATACAGATTGAGCTATAATTCCCATTCCAACAGAAGTTACCCTGTACTACTCAGAAGGTTGCTGAAAACTCTTTGACAGCCCACGACCGGTTTCGCCCTTCTTGGGGCTCATCAGGTAGGCGCAGTCCCCGAGTTTCCGTCAACTTTATCATCTACTTGAACCCAAATTGCACTGTTTTCGAGAAATACACTCATTTGCAAATCAATTTGGTTTTCACGGGAGACTCAACTGAATCTCTCGTTTATGATATTCTACAACTGAATGTGCTGCACATAGGCCGCCTCATGTTTTAATTGGCACGACATTTGAGACATCGCAGTATATTTTCATGGGGGAAACTACTCACAAGGTTGCTGAAAACTCTTCGACAGCCCACGACCGGTTTCGCCCTTCTTAGAGTGTTAATAATATCACAATATATAACCGGCTTATTAACAATCCCAACACATCTACCTGTAAGCTTGAAAGATGGAGCAAATGACTGGCGGAATTAAGCCAAACCGACTTGAGGTATGGTGTCCTTTCTTCATAGAGGACTTTTAACCTCTGAGACCATGCTCAATATTCCTTGTTCCCGGTCAGCATGTATCGCTCATTCTTCCTAAACATTTTATTTAGAAGCCGACAGGGATTGCAGAAAATGGCCTGAGATATGAGGTAGCTCCCAGTCAGAGAGCCGGTGTCCAAAACTTATTCCATTTTCATTCTCCGTCGGATATGACGGTAGCCGGAGAAGCCCTATTCGTTTGTGTTCCACCAACTAGTCTCTTCAGATCCATGCCAAGTACGGATTTCAATCGGCCACAGAAATCCATTTCCCTTTAGAGTGAGTGATTAACGCACCTCACGAAATGCACCCAATGGCACAACACTTTGGTCTCAATGGGGAACTTAAATGAATCGCAGCCGAATCTCTCGTTTATGATATTTTTCAACTGAATGCACTGCGCATAGGCCGCCCCAGATTACAGTTGGTATGAGAGATTCAGCTGGGGTCCGGGGTGAAACTCCCGTTAAAACCAGATTGGTGTGTGAATTTCGTTCAATTTGGGTTCAAGTAGAGCATAAGGTCGATGGAAACCGGGGAAATGCGCCTACCTGATGAGCTCCAAGAGGGGCACAACCAGTCGTAGGCTGTCGAAGAGATCTCAGTAACCGTACGAGTGGTGTTCCTTCGAGATTACCACACTTGCAGGAAGAGTGAAAACTGATCCAGTTTATCACAAGCCTTTTATATGGCCATGACGCAACTTAACCCTGACCACTGTCTGAGACGACTTTGTGTTTCTACACCAGAGTCCTGACGTTTTAGTCAAATCAGTAGTTACAGTATCGCGCCTAACCGAAGCATTCTTGAAAACACTGTAAGGCTCAAAAGTTAAGTTAGACAGTGCGTTCATTTGGCCCAAAGTAGGAATCCGTCCCATAGATAGAACATTGGAGTAAACAGCGCAGTAAACAAACCTTGTTTGTTGCGACTGGCAGTGGATGTTCGTAATTACACTCCAACACAGAATGGCGAGACCGAACGACCTGGAGTTGTGTGGAGGCTTGTGGCTAGATGAATGCCCGTGCCCAAAAACGTTATTGAGGACGTTCCAGGTGAGTCTCTCGAAAGAACCAAATTAGTTTGCAGATGAGTGTATATTCGCTAGTTTTTTAGGACGTTTCGACGGGCGAGTAATTGATACGCGATCGACCTTGGTGACCTTAAATAGCACGTGCGCTACGCGTACTTCATGGTGGCAAGGTGACCGTGTGAAATTCGGACCATTGTCCGTGTCACGTGACGTGGGAGAACCAGCAAAGTGGTGTATGGTTCTCAAGGTCACTCACATCAAGTGAAGCAAATTAGCAAGCCCCTAAACATGGCTGCCAGTGGACGGGGAAATCGGAAA